CCAGAAGGACCCCCCAGCTGCCATCCATTGTGCTGCTGAAGTGTCCCCTGGCCCTGCCGGGGAGCCCCCTGGCACCCACCCCACAGAAGAGGCTGCAGGGCCGGGCAAGGGGGTGATGGAGAAAGACCTGCCAGAGCCCAAGGCAGCTGCTGAGCAGGAGCCACCTGGCCCTAAATCCACCTTCCAGGCTGCAGCACCACCACCAAAACCGACCCGAGAGAGCATCCTGCCCACCAAGGCACCTGCTGCGCGGCCGTGGAGGCACCAGCCGCTTCTCAGCATGGCGCAGCCCAGCAGCAGCAGCAAGGACATCGTGCAAGCCTTCATCAGCGAGATCGGTGAGCAGCAGGGCTGCAGGGTACTGGGCTGAGTGTCGCCAGCCGGTGGGCTGGTGTTCCGGCCGGCAGCCCATGGACCAGCTGGCACGGGTCCCTGGCACTCCTTGGGGGTGAGAGTGGCAAAGCTGCACCTGCAGGCTTGCAGTCTTCCCAGCGCCCTGCCGGGACGTTGCCTCCAGTTGGTCTGGAGTGACTCTGCCCAAACTGGTCCCTCCTGGGGCTGCAGAGCTGGGTGCTCCTGTCCCTGCTGTGGGACATGCAGAGCTGCTGCAAGCTCTGCTGCTGCTTCTCCCCCCCGGTGCTTGCCCTGTTACCCAGGGAGGCTGATTCAGGGGGAGAATGGGGCCGGGGATGCATCCCCATGGTGCCGGGAGGGTTTTGGTTGACCTAACTGGCTGTGTTCTCTCCCTGGCCCAGGGATTGAAGCCACCGACCTGTCCAGCCTGCTGGAGCAGTTCGAGAAGTCTGAAGGTGCGGATGTGGCGCATTGTCTGTCATGGGGCTCCCCCTGTGCCCTGCCAGCCTCACTGGGCTGCCCGTGCTGTCCATGGGGGGACCAGGACACTGCTGCCTGTGGGCTGGTGTTACCCTGCCTGGGTGCCTTGTCCCAGAAGGCTGTCTGCCTCCATCTCCTTCCTGGCATGAGAAAGCTACTGGGGGTCCCTGGAGTGGCCAAGGGGAGTGGTGAAAAGCCCAGGAAGGAAAGGGGATGTGCAGCTCCTCTCTGCAGGGAGCTCAGTTTGGGCTGCTGTGAAACCTCTCTGTCTCTATATATCTCCCTATGTGGGGTCTGTCCCCTGGCCTCCTACCACCATGACCTGTGTGCTCTCTTTTCAGCCAAGAAGGAGGAGGCTCCTGTGCAGCCCCCTGAGGACAAGCGGCCAGCAGGGAGCTCTGGGTGAGTGCTGAGACCTCCGCGGCCAGTGCTCCAGCATGGAGCCTGATCGAGGGCTGAGCCCTGCCTTTGGCCAGGGGCATGGGGCAGCTCTCAGTCCCGACACGGTCTGAAATCTGCCAGAGGCTGTGTTGTCCAACCCAGGAGGGGCTGAGCTCCTTGCTGGGCTGGGGGCCAGAGCTGGCACTGAGGAGGGAAAATTGAAGGAAGCAATGATGGACATGACCAGGCTGTGCAAGCCCCATCCTTGCAGCTCTCAGATTTTCAGTTCCCACTGTCAAGGCAGGGGGGAAGCTTGGGCAGGTGCCCCAGACGAGAGTGCTGGGGCTGCAGTTTGGCTGCTGTGTTTGACAAAGCTCCTTTCCCCTTCCTAGGCCTGAGACCCAGCAGGACAGGAAGCCCCTGGACAGCCTGCAGGCCTCTGAGCTGGCCAATGTGGCAGGTAACGCCCGGGGCGAGGCAGGGGGGAGCCCACCCTGTCCTGGCAGGGGCTATGGGGCTGGGGAGAGACCCTAGGGCTTGAGGGAAGGTGTGGCTGAGAGGGAGCCCAGCCGGACAGGTTGCAGCAAGGGGCTGCTCTTCAAAGCTTTCTGGTGCTCTCACAGGCCTCACGCCTCCAGCAACGCCCCCACACCAGCTCTGGAAGCCGTTGCCTGCTGTCTCACTGCTGGCCAAGCCTGGGTCTGCACCCCAGGAAGGCCCCCAGAAGATGGCCATGCTGACGAAGGCCAAGCTGCTGCCCCCAAGCAAAATCCAGGGGAAGAGCCAAGCACCGGCCCCTGCCAGCTCTGCCCCCAGCCACGTCTGCTCGGGAGACCACGACTACTGCATTCCCAGTGCAGCACGGCCGGGGAGCACCGGCAGACAAAACGCAGCCCCCTGCTGAGGGCGGCTCCCGCTGGAACGTCAAGCACCACCGGGACATCACCATCAAACCCATCTCCTCCTTAACCAAACGGACGCTGGACCAGCCTAAGCCCACTCCGCCAGTCCCCACCACCACTGTGGGGCCTGACCAGGAGCCTCTGGGGACAGCCTGCCTTGCCCCCCTGGATTATCGGACTAGCGTCCCCAGTGAGGCCACTGCAGGGTGCAGCAGCCCCCCCACCTCGGTGCTGCTGTCTCCAGCCGCATCCCCCTGTCGGGACCAGGAGGTGCAGACTCCCAGTGCCCAGCCTGGCCGCGTTGCTGCCAAGAGGTCCCTGCGCTGCTACCGGAGACCTCGGGACTCACCCAGCCCCTCTGGCAGCAGCTGGAGGGCTGGCCGGAGCCGTGCCAGCCACTCCTTCAGCTCCAGTTCGGATGGAGCTAGTGAGTCCTCATCTTCATCTTCATCCTCGTCCTCCCGGTCCCGTTCACGGTCGTTCTCCCCACCGCCCAAGCGGTGGCGAAGGTAGGTGGTGGAGCGTCTGCCTGGTGGCTCTTTGGGCAATTGCTTGGTGGCCAATCTTTTGCGAGGGTGCCCAGACACCACCTCATTGACCTACTTGACGGCTATATTTGTTCTTTTTGTCCTTGTGGGCCCTCTGAAGGGGTGGCTGGCTCACAGAGACTGGGAAGCTGCTGCGATATCCTGCCAGTGGGTGTCTGGCTGAACCCCATGTCTGGGCAGGCGTTCCTGCAAAGCCACCGCTGAGCCAGGCTTCCTTACTCCTCCCGGAGCACCATGGTCCAAGTCCTTGGCTGCACCTTGGCATTTGGATGCTTTTTCTAGGGTATTATTGCAGGTTTTGGTGTTTGTGCTGTGGGGCTGGTGCAGCCGTAGGTGTAGAAATGAGAGGAACCATAATGGCATCCAGGAGCTGCTGGAGGCAAGCAGAGAAAAACTCGTCTGGCTTGGCTGCCCCAGGAGTCCCCATGCTCCTTGTGGAGGTGGCTGTGTAGGAAAGTAAAGCAGTCTGGTCACTGCAGAGAGCATTTATTTTGGAGTCCTTGTGCATCTCAGTGACACACAGCCTGTCCCAACTGGGGTGGGAGGCACTGGAGCTGGTGAGGGATCCCTCATCTGCCATTCCCTGGATGTTCAGCTGGTTTTGAAGTCCCCTGTCCCAGATATGGGCAGCTCAGGGACTTGTCTGGTCTGGGTTGGGTTTCCAGCAAATGCTGCTGGCCCTGTGCTGGGAAATGTCCCCATGGGCTGTGCCATCCTGACCTGCTGTCCCCGGGAGAATTTGTGGTAGTACCAGGCAGTACACCCTGCTTGGGGCCTGGTTTTCCCCATGGCAGGGACCACCTGTGGGCAGCACGTTTAGAGAAAGACCCTGTTGCTGTCCAGAGGCAGCACAGCTTCGTCCCAGAAGGGTTTCCATCCTGCTGCCCCTAAGCTTTGTGTGGCCCTGCCCAAGAAGCTCTTGCAGGAAGGAGGCTGTGGGCACAGAAGCCCATCTTTGTCCTAGTGCATGCCATGGCCCCTGGTGCAGTCGGCAGCACCCATGGTCTTCATTTGTGTGTCTGTTGAGTGCAACATGGATGCAATGGCTTTGGTGTTATCTCGTGCACTGTGTGGGGCTCAGCACGGCAGCCTCAGCCCCTCCTGGGTCAGGCCATGTGCTCCACGGTCCATGTGTGACTGTTGCTCTTCAGAGGCTGTGCCTGCTGTGAGCCCGTGCCCTTTGTTCTGCAGTGTGTGGAGCCATGTGGAGCGGCATCTCTGTGGTGGTGTTACTGCTTCACAAACTCAGGCAGGGTTTTCCATAGCCCAGCTCACCCTGGGGATGCTCTTGTATGAACAGAGTGTTGGGTACCTCAGGGCGGATGGGAGTCTTTGGCTTCTCATGGTGCTGGGCATGGGAAGGGCTCAGCACTGATCTGTCTCTCCTTCCCCAGATACCGTTCAAGATGTTCCCACAGCTCCTCCTCCCGCTCCAGCTGTGGGTCATGTGGCCGATCCCGGGACAGGTCCTCCTCCTCCTCATCAAGGTCATCCTACACGTCCAGGTCCACATCCCGCAGCCAGTCCCGCTCCCCGTCGCCCCGCAGGAGGAGTAACAGGCGGAGAAGGTGAGTGTGGCCTCTGCAGGGGTGTGAGCTCCTCAGACCCATCTCCTGGCCTCCCGCATCCCAGGCAGGGGTGCACCCACTCCTCCAGTCTCTCTCTTGTGTCTGGGATCACTCTTTTGTCATCCGCATGACCCTGTAGCTCATCTGTCTGGTTTCTGCCCTGCCAGATACAGTTACAACGCACAGGACCACTACCAAAGGCAGAGGATACTCCAGAAGGAACGTGCAATAGTGAGTGCTTTGGGGCTGGGGATTTGGGGCCCCCCCACCCCCTCCATCACTTCAGAAAGCTGTGGACTCTCAGCCTTGCAGGCAGCACTGCTGGGAGAGGCTCTGGCAAGGACATGGGGTGATGGGTGGTGATGAAGGTAGGGTGCTCCGTGGGACAGCTCCTGCTCACCAGCGGGGTTTGGCGGTGCTGAGCCTGCCTTGTTCCTCTCATGGACGGTGCATCCCTGCCCACAGGAGGAGCGACGAGTTGTGTTCATTGGCAAGATCCCCAGCAGGATGACGCGGTCGGAGCTGCGGCACCGCTTCTCTGTGTTTGGGGACATTGAGGAGTGCACCCTGCACTTCCGCTCCGAGGGGTAAGAGCTGCTGGGGAGGAGACGGGGCAGCCCCGTCCCAGAGATGGCTCCTCTTTTCCCATTCTTTGAGGGGATGGTGCAGACCGAGGGGGGACAAACAATGCATTGCTGCTGATCTCCTTCTCTGGCTCCAGGGACAACTACGGCTTTGTCACCTACCGCTATGCCGAGGAAGCCTTTGCTGCCATTGAGAGCGGGCACAAGCTGCGGCGCCCGGACGAGCAGCCCTTTGACCTGTGTTTTGGCGGCCGCCGGCAGTTCTGCAGGAGGAACTATGCTGATTTGGGTGAGTAGTGCAGCCCCCAAGCTGAGCGGGTGGGGGATGACACAACCTGGACCCTTCCTAGAGGTGAGGGTGTCCCTATCCCTGAGGTCAGTCAGGCTTGGGGGAACAGGGCCATGTCCAGGGATAATCCTGCCCTGGGGGAAGGTGGGACAGGGACTCCCCATCCCTCCAGTGCTGTGATGGGAGTCAGGTCTGGTTCTCCACCAGCCCAGCTCTGGAGGTTGGCACGGGAAGCAGGATCGGAAGGAGTTGCTGTGGGAATGGCCAGAACCGTGCCAGCATCCGTGTGGCTCAAGGCAGCCTCTCCCCGTGTCTTCCAGACTCGAACCGGGAGGATTTCGCCCCAGCCCCCGTCAAGAGCAAGTTTGACTCCCTGGATTTCGACACGCTGCTGCGGCAGGGCCCGCAGCCTGCGGAGGTAGCGGCAGGCGAGGCGGAGTGCCCGCCCCCACTTTTATACTCAAATACAAAAGACAAAAAAAGTATGGGGAGAGAGAGAGAGAGATGGGGTTTTTAAGAAAAAGAAAAAGGAAAAAAAGAAATTTGTTTTATAACCAATATTTAAGGAGGAAGGGTCATTTGCCTTCGACCGAAGGGGCCCAGGCAAGTGGCAGCCCCAGGCCTGCCCCAGCCGTGTAATAAATGTGGATGCCCAAACAGCAGCGCTGCCTCGTCTCCTCCTTCACGCAGGCCATTCCCAGGCGTGGGGTTGGACTGTGTCCCCTGAGGACCCCAGGGTCTCCGTACTTGGGTCTGGCCCTATGAAAGAGCACAGGTTGGGGAGTGGGTACAGGAGTGGGCATCTGGGGAAAAATGGGGCAGGACTGGGGTCACCGAGCTGCTCTGAGGGGTCTGTGGCAGCCTCCAAATGGCCTGGCACGGGGTGAATGCCTCTTTGAGGACAGGCAGTGCAGACCCCTCTGACCAATTTTTGAGCTCTGCTGGTGTGAGGACCTGGCATCTCAGTCCTGAAGCGCCTGGCTGGGTTTTGGGACCACCTGCACCTCCCGTGGTGGCCACGAAGGGGCAGTGCAAGATCCTCCTCCACTGCCACTGGAGGCTGGAGTGCAGGGGGCTGAAGGCCTTGACAGGAGCAGGGGCAGGGGTCTGCCTGCTCTGAGGGCAGCGTGTGCGACCACAGCCTCTGCCTGTCCCCTGCAGGAAGGTTACAGGCATCCGCAGTGGGCAGAGCACAGCGTGTGATGGTGCTTGATGCAGGGAGGATGGACAGGGGTGGGGAAGAGGGTGCAGGATGCCTGTCCAGGACCCCCATGTGCTCCAGGTCATGGAGGAAAAAGGCAGTCCCAGGTAGGGATCCCCCAAAGGAGTGTGCTTGGATCTGCTCCTGAGCACCTTCCCTGCACCTCTCCCTGAGCTAGCAATGCCGGGGCCCTGCTTCCCGCTCTAGTGCAGGCGGCTGGGGAAAAGCCCTGCATCAAGCTGCTCCTGGCATCCCCAGCACAGGAATGGGCTGAGCTTGCAGTGCTGACAGGGAACCCCAAGATGGCATCAAGCATCCCAGTTTTGAGACTGGAACAGGCTTGGGCAGGGTGCAGTGGTGCATGGTTGGGCCCCCTCTCAGCACACTGTGGGGTGGGGGGTCCTGCAGCCACCCAGCTTGGGTCTGCAGAGCTAGGGGAGCTTGAAGGGAAGAGATGGGCAGGGCATGGACCCCCCCAGGGCTCCTTGCATTGCCTGTGGAAGAGGGCTGGCCAAAGTCACCCCAGACCCCTTACTTGATGGAGGCTGTGCCCATTCCTCTTGTAGGAGAGCGGAGAGGGGAATAGCAGTGATAAACCCAAGGTGGGGTATCCAGCCAATGCTGCCACTTGGATCATCCTTAGACCTCTGAGACCCTTTGGGAGTGTGGTGCAGCAGTGTTATGGTCCAGAATTAGCACAATGGCTGGAGCCCACTTGTGCCCTCTCCGGATGGAGGGGGATGCTTCTGCTCCTGCCTGTGTGCTGGGTGACCTGTGCTGCTCTGTAGCTTGTCCCGAGGAGGCCTCTATGGTACCCCAGGTATGTGGGGTATGGTGAGGCTGCCAGCGGGGTGAGCTCCCACCCTGTCCTCTCCTGCCTGGCCCTGGACTTTGCACAAAGGAGGGTCCAAGAAAGTGGCTGCAGGCAAAGGTGTGAGTGGGATGGGGGGGCTGGCAGGCAGGGGGCTGTTAATCAGTAATGCAGTTCTTCCAGGGACCTCGACTTGGCAGGAGGGGGTGAAAGTCAGTGCCCAGCAGGAACACAGGAGGAAGACCCCGTCCAAACCCCTTTTACTGCAGCACATGTGCAGCTCCTCTCCAGCCCAGGGCAGCTGGGCCTATCGCAGCACTGACGAGCAGCTCCCTGGTCTCTGAGCTGCCACAGCAGCACTGGAGGCACACGGATCCAAGCAAGATGTTGCAGGGAGAGTGCCTGTTCAACCAGCTGCAAAAAACACCTCCAAGCTGTAGGCTTATTCAGGTCTGAAGAAAGGCTCGTGAGCCCAAAAGCTGGGTTGCCTTCTCCAACCACTTTAGCTGGTCTCAAAGTTTCTTCACAGCCTTTCGTTGAACTGCTGCTGCAGCTGTGGAGACAGGTGAGAGCTGGGAATGTCATCAGAAAGCTTCCTTGGGCACATCCCCTGGCAGAACAATCTCCTGCGGGTGTGCTACCCCTTGGACCCGAGCTGTGTGCATTTGGGCAGCCCTGCAACTGCAGCATTGCCCCAAATGTGTGTGCCGCTGGCAGCAGCACCAACACAGCTGTGTCCTTGTGTTCCTGGGGCTGGGCTGCACGTGGTCTGCTCTCCATGCTCCTGCGGGTGAGGAAAAGGCAGGGAGTGTGAAAGCGTTTGTGTTGCCAGAAGAATTAACACCCTGCTGTTGTGCCCTATAAATCTTTCAAGTGTTAGAGGCCAGCTTTATCCCCCCATGTTACAGTTTAATGGTTTCCGTTAGCAATAACCTGGCCCTGTGTTCTGGGGTTATTGATTTAAGGTCTGCTGTGGAGGGTGTGAGAGCTGCAGAAAGGTGTTTTCCTGCCACCCAGCTGCTGCAAGGAGGCAGCAGGAGAGCGGTAAGCGGTGCAGAGCCAGCTCTCTTTAGGTGCTGGTGTGAGCAGTCTGCAGAGGATCGGAGCACCGCGGTGAGGAACAGCACTTGCAGCACATCTCTTGCTCAGCCGTGCAGCCAGCTGGCACAGCTGCGGAGGTGAGCACAGCTGTTGTGGCAGCATGGATGCATTCCCTGAGCTCTAACACAGGTGGGATGTGCCTGCCTTTGGCTACTGAAGCTGTTGTGTGTGTGGATGAGCCCTGGCTCAATGGTGGGCAGCTCTGTGTGCCTCCTCCGTGCCAGCTGCACCGCCTGGCTGCGCTGCAGACAGCCTAGTTTGGGAGTTTGGGCATGGCTCTGCCTTGGAAGCGCCAAACCTTGGCTCTCTTCTGCATTCCAATAGGTAAGTCCTGCTGGTGGCCACATTGTTGGCCCAGAGTAGTCCCCCTTGCCTTGCAGGTGCCCTTTGGAAGGGGCTGGAGTCCAGCTCATGCGGTACCTGTGGGAATTTCCTCTACCAGAGCCATGCCAGAGGTGAGGGGCAGAGCTGGGGCTTTGTAGGGATCCCAGCTCTTGGAGGGAGTCTCTTAGAAGCAAATCTGCTTCATCCAAGGCACGTGGTGCATGTAGGACAGCCAACCTTCCTCCTATGAGTTTCAGCATCCTTCAGCATCCTGCGCTGCCTGCATGAGTGGCTCTGCCCCAGGCTGCAGCAGCCCTGGGCTGGGGACCACACAGGGGGTGTTTTCTGAGAGGTCACTAAGCAGACCTGGGGATTTCACTCTGTTTCTCTTCAAGGTCTTCTCAACCTTTCTTCTTCTGTTCCTGCTGCAGACTCTACTCTTGTGGTTATCCCTAACGCTCCCTACACCAGGCCCTGCCATCTGCACCCTTCTGCTGAAATGAACTTCCCAGGGGCTGATGCTGATTTCATACCTTCCTCCTCCCTTTCCCTTCTCATTCCCTCTTGAATCACTATGTCCTGAATGTGATCTCCAAGATAGGAAGGCATCCAGAGTGGTCTTTTACCATGGGTGAAACCTGGAAGATGAGGGCCTGTCCTCTATGTGAAAGCTGTTTTGGACCCCATGTGCAAAAGGCAGTGGGGGCAGCAGGAGAGTCTGACAGCAGCGCTCCTTGCACACCTCTGCCTGGAGCCAGAGGCTGCACAGCCCTTGCCCCCATTGCTTTGCAGAGCTCATTTCCTCAGCAACAGCAGAGCCCTTTATCCTCAGGAAAGGTTATTCTGGCACCTTGGGGCTGGATGCTGCCCAGGACTGAGCACCCACATTGCCATGAGGTGGGTGTTCTCTTCCACACTTGGGGTGTTCACACTTAAGATATTTGGTTGTGCTCATCTTGAAAGTTGGCAGGGACCCCATGGGGAGAGGTGCCAGGCACAAACCTGGCTTTGCAATGCTCCTTGCTGTTTGCACCCATTCCCTTCCTTGGGACCACCAGTCCTTGAGATCCAGGCTGACTTCACGCATCCAAGTGCTCGGAGGTCCTGACCCAAAGCAGAAGCTGCTGCTGTGTCGTGTCTCTGCCTCCTCAGCCTGGGGTCCCTGTACTGGGAGCCTCACAGGGGTGCCCAGCTTCAGAGAGGGGCCATGGGAATCTGGCACTGGGATCACTGGGAATGTGGACTCAGAGGAACCCCTGAGAGCTGGGAGAGATGCTTATTCCACCTGTGGTGCACAGAGCCTGATGCTTTGGAGCTACCTCACTCTCACACTTTCTCTGCTCTCACACATCCCTTGTCCCAGATCCCTGCCTGCTCTGCTTGCAAGCAAGCCCTGGAGGCCAGCCAGTGGCTGTGCATGCTTTACCTCTGTGCTTGTACAGCTGAGAGCCTGGGTTAATTCCCATGTTCCCTCTTGCAGCTGCTTGTGCAGTTTGTTCACACTGGGGCAGTCCTCCAGGGTCATCCCAAAGTGAAGTGTCCTGTGGCTGTGGATAAAGGTGCAATGAATGCTCTACTCGTGCCTCCAGACTGGACACCTGCTCCACTCACCCCATGAACCAGGCACTGCAAACGCTTCCTGACTCCTCTCAGCAAAAAAGCTGCAACTGTAATGTGCCATGGGAAGCAAGCGGGGAGATTAAGGGACCATCAGGTCTGCAGCCTGGTGATGGCAGAGAATTTATGAAAGAAATTACATAGGATCTAGAAAATAGACATGAACTTGGAGAAGGGCAACCCCCTACCAGAAAAACCCCACCCCAAACCTGAACAAACAAAACCCCCAAAACAAAACCACACAAAAAATGCAAGCACAATTTTTCTATCAATCCAGGAAAATTCCCTTCTGACCCTAATCTGGCAATAGCATTAAGCCTAATGTGTGAGCAGACCTCTGGGACTGTAATGTTGGGAGCACCAA